TGCTGCTGTCCCCCTTTCACCTGTGAACACAAGCCCTGCTGGCCCTCAGAGCCAAACCATCAAAGGGTGTGTTCTCTGGGCAGCAGACACAAGCTCCTTTCTTAGCAACCCCAACCACCTGGGTGGGGCAAGAGAGTACAAAGATGGCACCCACCATCTTCCTTCCCTGGAGAGTGCCTAAGTAAGTTCTTACATGTGTGCCAAACTAAAGCCTGCCCCTAAGGCTGAATCTTCAACACAAGCAAAGAGGCCTCTTATACATAAAGACTGGGGGTGTGTTTCCTTCTCCTGTCTCTGCATTCTGCCCTGGGGGTGGTGGCCAACCAAGAACTGTTTTTCCATTTGTTATTAGTCCCAACTGGAGCCATGAACACAAGCCATGGGGGGCAATAGAACCAGATGGTCAGGGGGTATTCCTTGGGCAGCAGACATGTGGACAAGTTCTGCTCTGGGTGACCCTGGTGATCTGGAGCACAGCACAGGGAGCACTTGAAGATCGTACCTGTCCTCTGAGGTCTCTTGAGAGGATTACAGTCAGCTCCTAGATGTGTGTGTGTATGTAAGATTGTATTTATTTATTTGAGAGAGAGAGAGCACAAGTCGGGGGGAGAAGCAGAGTGGGAGGGAGAGAATCTGAAGAAGACTCTGATGAGCCCAACCCCATGCAGGGCTTGATCCCATGACTGCGAGATCATGACCTGAGTTTAAAACCAGGAGTCAGATGCTCAACTGCCTGAGCCACCCAGGTGCCCCTAGATGTGTGTTTAATTGGAAGCCTGCTATTCTGACTACAGCTATGAGAGAGGCTAATAGGCCTCCATCACAGAAAGACTGGGTGCCTCAATCTGTTGCCTCTCTGCTGTACCTACCGTGGTGGTAGCTGGTTAAGAACTTTCTCCAAGATCTGCAATCTTTAGCCCCACTGGTCACCAGAGCCAAGCAATCTAGAGGTGTCTCCTGGGCGGCAATTGAAAAAATCAGGGAGCCAGACAAGGAATATACAGGAAATATCAGTGACCTGAAGTGAAGCAGAGCAGGAGTGCAAAGATGGTACTTGCTGGCCTCCATCTTTGGAGAGTGTTTCAGTAGGCACCCCCAGATGTGTGTTAAATTAGATGTCTTTAGGCCCGTGCTCTAAGATACGCAAGTAAGTCTGTCTCGTAGAAAGTCTGGGCACTTTTCAGTCAGCTGCCTCTGCTCTGCCCTGGGGTAGGTGAATTTGCACTAACCCTTTAAAAACTGTACCTCAGTTTACTCTAGTCTTGGGAGTCTTGGGGTCACAGGCTCTAGTTGACTTTCAAAGCTGGAGATTTTGGGTGCTCATCTGTCAGGTGCAGGTCTTAAAAGTTGGGGTGCCAGATGTGTGGTTCAAACCCTTTGCTCTTCAGGGAGAAGTGTGAGGTTGTGAGTTCCCTCCTGATTGTGGGTTACCATGCTGGGGGTGTGGTTTATGGTGAGATTGTGTCTTGGCCTGTCCTTCCCCCTTTGACATGAGTTTTTTTCCCTTTCACCCAGTGGGAGGAAGTCATTCATCTAGTTTTGAAGTTTTTTCCAGAGGAAATAGTTCCATATGTAGCTTTTAGATTCAGTGTGTCCGTGGGAGGAGGTGAGTTTAGGATTCTCCTACATTCCTATCTTGAATCAGAACCTTCCTATTAGCTATTTATACTTGATAGGTATTAATCACTTTTAGTAAGATACCACATTTTAAATTCATATATCTTGTATTGCAAACAATGAAGACTCTTAGATACAGCATAGTAATTCAATTGGTAGAGCAGTTTTGGGTACAGCAGATTATGGTGTATGACTAAATATAGGTAATGATATAATCTCAGTGCCCATTTATATAGGAACAAAATTAGATGGCTTACAATACTTGTTTTCAAGATGTAATTTAAAAAAGTACTGTAAGCAGTTCCACTCCCAGTATGTACCCAAACACGAAAACGTCCACACACAAAAGTTAGTACTCAGATGTTCGTAGCAGCATTATTCAAAATAGCTAAAACACTCATGTGTTTTACTCATGTCTATCATCGGATGAATGGATAAACCCAAGTTGTATATCTATGCAGTAGAGTATAATTTATCTATTACAGTAGAATATAATTTATCAATTAAAAGGAATGACATACCACTTCATACGTAGTAGGATAGGTATAATTAAAAAGACAACAGCAAGTATTGATGAGGATACAAGGAAATCAGAACCCTTTTACACAGATGGCGGTAATGTAAAATATTGCAGCCCACTATGGAAATAAATTTGGCAGTTCCTTAAAAAGTTAAATACATAGTTATCATATGAGCAAATAATACCAACTAGACATACACTGGAGAGATTGAATCACATGTTCACACAAAACTTGTTCATGAATGTTTATAGCAGTGTAATTCATGAGAGCCAAAAGATAGAAAAGGCCTAAATGGCAGCCATAAAATGGAATGAGGTACTGTTAAATGCCACAACATGGATGAACCTTGAAAACATTACACTAAATGAAAGAAGCTAGACACAAAAGACCACCTATTGTATGATTGTGTTCATATGAAATGTCCAAAATAATAGAGACAGTAAGTAGATTAGTAGTTGCTAGGGGGCTATGGGTGGGTGGGAGGCACTAACTGCTAATAGGTATGGGATTTCTTTTTTGGGGTGATGCAAGTGTTCTGACATTTAGTATTGATGGTTATACGACATCTATTTGTGGATGTAAATGTGTTTGTATCTCTGATACTATTTTAGAATATTTTAAAGGAGTACTGAATGTAGAATACAGGCTTTGAATAGATTACCCAAGCCCAAATTTTGATTATAGACAAGCATTAAAATGAATGTAGTATATGACTTTTTCTAGAAAACATGAAGAATGAAATCACTACAATAGAGATGGGTTGGAAGATGGAAAATGGGTGGATATACAGGGGAAACAAATGTGTTAAGTAGGGGTGAAAACCAGCTGATTATTAGCACAGAAACAGATCCCCCCCACCCTGTGCCAGTTGTTGAGTCATTCAGCAGGTTTAGTCAGTCATTTATCAGATTTTTTTTAATACAAATTATATGCCAAGCCCTGTGTCTACATGCTGACTGTCTGCTTTGAATGAATCAGATTTTATCCCTTACCTCATGGAGTTCCTAACCTAATGAAGGAGATGGGCAATAAAAAGGCAGAACAAACATTATGATTAAGAAAATGTTATGAAAGAAATTAATATCCCTTGCCTGTTTATAGAAAATAGGGAAATAGGAGCTTTGTGACATACTTTTGGTAGGGTGATCAGTGATGCCCAGTGAAGGCCTTTCCAAAGAGGTAGCGTCTAAACTGAGACTTAAAAGGTATTGGAAGGAGTCAGCCATGGGAAATTGGGAGAAGGACATTCTATGCATAATGAAGACCCTAGGATGGCATCTTTGAGAAACAGACAAGAAGCCATTATGGCTGGAGCTTAGTAAATTGAGGAAAGAAGTCATGTTGTAAGCACTAATAGGGACTTTGGACCTTGCACTGAGAAATTACCAAGAGCTATTAAGCAAAGAAGTGACATGTTCTGAAAGACTACTCTAGCTTTGGGATGGAGAATGAAGAACTTGGTAAGAAAAAAAATAGGGACAGCAGTTAAAAGGCTATGGCCAGGGGCACCTGGGTGGCTCAGTCAGTTAAGTGTCTGACTCTTGGTTTCGGCTCATTGTGATCTTGGGTCATGGGATCGAGCCCCTTGTTAGGCTCCACGCTCAGCTCCGAGTCTGCTTGGGACTCTCTCTTTCTCCTTCTCTCTTTCTCTCCCTCTGCTTCTCCCCACTGCGTGCACAATGCGTACACACTCTATCTTTAAAATAAATAAATCTTAAAAAAAAAAGAAAAAAAGAGGCTATGGCCAGAGCTATCCCAGACATAAGGATGGTGGCAGAGTGGATGGAGAAGAACTATTAAATTCAAGGTATGGTTGGAACGTAGATCAGCTGGATTCAATGTGTTGGATGTTGTGGATGGTGGAAAAGAAAGATTCAGGAATTACTCTTAGCCATTTGTTACTAAAATCTATGTACTCTACATGGAATCAAGTATGGGTGGTAGGAGTATGTTGTATACATAATGATACATAAGTTGATATTTATGTAGTGCTTTGAAAGTACTGCCACATCTAATACTCATTTTGGGTTCTCTAATTTTTTTAACTGAAACATGTTGGTTTTAACTGAAACGTGTTGGCAGTCTGAATTTAGTTACAGTTTTCCTGAAGTAGAGCTTAACTGGCATTCGGAAGCGTTGAGGCTACTTAAAATTCTCACACCTAAAAATCAGTCCTTCCCCAAACTAAACATTATCTCTTACAAAATCAGTGTGGGGTTTTTTGGCGGGGGCAGGGCAAGATAGTTTTATTTTTGAAGGAATAGGGTAGAAGTTAGAAAGTTTTTCTAAGAGTTGGGGTGCCTGGGTGGCTTACTTGGTTGAATGTATGACTCTTGATCTCAGCTTAGGTCTTAAGTGAGTTCAAGCCCTGCATTGGGCTCCGTGCTGGTATGGAGCCTACTTTTTAAAAAAAGGAAAAGAATTTTTTTCTCAAGAGTATATTTTCATGATGTGTAGTTAGATTTTGTCTGAATGAGAGTATAAGGTCAACTAGATTTTTATGAAAGATACCAAAAATTTTAAAAAACTTGCCACACTGTTAACATAATATAGTTAAATTAACAGAAATAACTTCAGATTGCTATTATTAAGCATTTTTCTTTTTAGAATAGAGGTTATTGCATACTATATAATTTCATGGGAAATTCAAATAAAAAACTTAGAGCTACCACAAATACATTCAGTACTTTCTAGTATAATTTTGTTATACTTGATATGAATATCTGTAAATTGATTATTTTTTCCTAGACTGTTTTCAAAATGCAGTTTTTAGCATTGATCTTCAAATGTTACAGATTTGCAAGAATTGATATATTAGTTCCTCAAGGAAAAAGAAATCAGTCTTATTTATTTATTTTTCAGAGGTGGCTGGATCCAAACAAACCAATTAGGAAGCAGCTGAAGAGTGAGCATACATATTTACTTGACATTTTACAAGTATACTTTATAAAGATAAAGGATTAATATAATCTGATTAATTAGAACTGCTTTTATTAATTCTAGGAGGATCTCCTTACAGTTTGAACTTCAGAGTCAAATTTTTTGTAAGTGACCCCAACAAGTTACAAGAAGAATACACAAGGTGGGTTTATGGAGCATATTTTTCCTGAAAATATTGTCAGAACTATTATGAAATTTTGAAATTATTTAGGCAGATATAGATTGTCATGGTGTGTAATTCTGAGATTCCCAGCCGTGACACAGAATGGGTTATAGATCTTTCATGTTTCCTCCCGTCTTGGATGGCTGGGAGGGCTTTAGGAGATTGGAACCCCAAGACCACCCCATCCAGCCACAAGCAGCCTCCTGAACCATATGAAATTAGATTTTTCTATTTGTAAAAAATGGTTAAGAAGTACTGCTGTAACTAATTGAGGTAATCAGATGATATTATAATTGTATCCAAGTGATGCTGCATAGTGAGAATTGTGTCTGCTTTTTTTTAAGGTAAAAGTGTATTCTATATATATTTTTTATTTCCATTGAGGAGAGCATAGAATTTAGAAAAATACATAACCATTATGTGCAGGAGTAATGGTCAACAGGTACCTTTTTTTTCCCCTCTGAAAATAGAATCTGTAGTTCCCTTTTGCTAAGATTAAAAGTCTTTTATTTTTTTCCTCCATCCCTACCATTTTCCTTAAAAGTGTAATTAACATACATTGTGTTAGTTTCATGTGAACAGATACCTTTTTATAAAGGATGTTGGCAGGGAGTGCGCTAGCACAGTTAGATCTTTAAGTGCCCACTTCATTGGCCATTTTAAGTCTGCTCTTGAGTCATGATCTAATTTTGTTGTCATTTCTACTTGACAAAGTGTACAGAAGAATGACCCAGGTGAGTATTTTGAAAGTGTATGAAAATTACGTGAGCTGTTTAAGGTAGAAATGGGAATAATCATAGTGTGGTATCTGTACTTGAATCTTGTGTATTGCTTGAAAGATAGTAATTAGTTGTTTTTTTTTTAAAGACTAAAGAAAACATTAGCATGTAAGACCTTCCATAAAAGTCTCAGCTATAAGAATATAGGTCAGTGATTATATTCAGAATTACTCTAAAAGGTAGGTGCCAAATTAGCAATTTGTACCTAAAGCTGCCTGTAGATGGGCTGTGAGATGTTACCATGTTGGCCATTGTTTAGAATACTGTGGTGATGTGGAGCAACAAAAAAATAAATTAAAGATATTTAGCTGTATCTGCCAATTCTCAGGTGTTTATAAAATAGGGTTTTCAGTAGACCAAGTAAGTAGAGTTAGATTGACATTCTTGAGAGTCCTTTTCTGTGTGTTTGTTGAGGGCAAGGTGTTACCTTTTTTCTAAAAGAATTTAGGAATGTAGGCCCTGGATTAGGCAGTCCTAACATTCAAAACTAATAATATTTCCAAGGTAATTTATGTTGAAAAGCAAAGTTGTGTTATATGAATAACCTTCAGTTTAATATGGTAGCTCTTAATCAGTCAAGTTTTGTTGTTGTTAAATAATTAACAAAATCTTTTATTTTAATAAATAATTCTTAGTATTGTAAAACTTTTCCTAATTTTGGCTTAACTTCAAGGAAACTACTCTGAATTAATGAAAATTGTGAATTATAAAACATTTTTAAGTGCATTTTACTATTTCTGGTAAATGTAAGCTGAAATAAAGTAGCAAAGTATTCCATAATACATATTTTATGTAATCAGAGTCTTAAATGTATAAGAAATATTTGTAATTAAAAAAACCAATAATTTAAAATTGGATTTCTAATGTTTTTAATATTTATGAAAGGTTTGTTAGCATAGCAATTAAAATATTGTCATTTGCAGCCATAGTCATAATTTACTTCACTCAAAATAATGTCTTTGAATTTCTTAATGGAGCTTGAATGTGTTGATTCTTTTATAGCCTGTGTTTAAAACATAATCATGGAATAAATGTATCTCAAGGATAATTAAGTCGTAATATCTTCCTGAAGTAGAAGGTAAAGCCAAGTTTGGTAGTAATCAAGCAATTACTTTGTGCTCAGTCTGTTGTCTAGAGGATTATCTTTTTTTCACTAAAAATAATGTATTCTTTCAAGAGTCCTTTATAATAGAATGTCCTAGAATCTTGTAACTGGTGGTATTTGGTAAAATGAGTTAAGTAGCTAGTTTTCATTATATTACCATAGAGTATATCAGTGCATCTCTACCCTCACTACAACTTAGAATCACTTAGTGGAACTTTAAAACATGCTGATGCCTTTGTCATACCCCTGAGATACTCTGATTTAATTAGGTCTCAGATGGGACCTGTGCATAGACATTATTAAAAGCTTCCCAGGTGATTCTAATATGCAGCCAGGGGTAAAGAAATACCCCTTTAAAACTTTAGTACTTGGGTAGCGTTAATGCAGTGGTCATGATAATAATATGACACCTTCAGCTACAGTTGCTAAATTTTAAGGACTAGTTTAAACCCATGAAACAGGAAACATGCCACACCTCCTTACCTTGAGATTCCATTCTAGATAAGTCGTAGGAAAAAGGACCTATAGAGCCTACAGGTCATTTGGTATTAGCAGGTGCTGGCATCTTTAGAAGTGGAGTTTTCTCAGGAGTCATGACACTACAGATGACATTTCTTTGGTGCCTTTTTTGTGCTTAGGTATACTCAATACATAATAAGTGCTCATGGTATTGGTATTTGTCTGGATTAGAAAAGCTGTATTATTTTTACAATTATTATTAAACACGTCATTTCTGTATTTACCTCAATTATTAATCTATCTTAAAAGTCTTAATTGTCTTTAAAAATTGGGGTTTTATCACCTTATTTAGGGCCTGTGGGATACATATACTAGACAAGTGATATTACTTCCTTTTTTACAAATACAGAAATTAAGGCTCAGCCAAATTTTAAGTAATTTGCTAAAGAGCACCAGCTGGTTTAGCTTAGGACTTGAATTCTGGTTTCCACTCTGTCAGTCCTTACTGGGTGGTATATAAATAAAATTCAGCAGGCATAGGTATTATTTGTGTAAGATTTACAATATTATGTCAAGAATATACATGCCTTTTCAATCTTAACTAAAGATTGGTTCCTACGAGGAACCTTTAACTTTTAATTATGAAACCAAGAAGCTAGGTAGAAATATATTGTCTTACACTGAATAAGTAGGTAATATTTACAGTATTACATATTAGTTCTCACTGGGAGTTTATGTACTTCATTAATATGTGAAGGCGAGTATTTGTATCAACTTTTAAAAAAAGTTTTAGCGAATATCTGATTCTCTGAAAGCCTTAATTATGTTTTTTGGTAATTTGAATATTGTCATGGAGCTCTTTAATGATTTTAATCAGCCAGAAAACTAAAACTGTTAGACACGATTTTTGATTCTTGGAGTGTGTATGCTTTTTTCAGTGGGGTAAAATAAAGTCTTAAAATTCCCTGTTTAAACATTGAAAGCCACAAAATTTGGTCTTCTGCCAACATTACGCATCACAGGTGACTTGTTGCAAGCATTGACACATCTCTGAGGGAATGACTTAACCTCAGTAGTGGGGACAGAAAGACAATGCCATCTTATAAGCAATCTCAGCATTCTTTTTAATAGAAATTTATATTTTTGTTGGTTTTAACCAACTGAGCCACCCAGGCACCCGGTTTTTTGTTGGTTTTAAAGGAAGTTGGGTACTTGGCAATTCTGATAGTAGGGAAGGCAGCTCAAGTTTTTTGTTTTGTTTTGTTTCTGACTAAAGAGAGCTTTCTTAACTCAAATGAAAATGGAAAGGTGCTTTTCTACATTTAGCAGCTTCCGACAGTGTAATGATGAGATGACCATAGGCCTGTCTTTGCAGCTGGCTTTCTGTCTCAACAGAAGGGATGACTTCTCCACTTGATCTCTAGTGCATTGCTACTGTCAGCTCTCCTATGTCTCTGACTCAAGTTTTCTGTGTTTCCCAGTTCTAATTTCTACAAACACCAATATTTAGAATATTCTCCCTAATCTCCCTCGGTCACGTAACTCTTAAAGTTTTTATAATAGAAGCTAGTGGAAACAAGTTATTTGAAGTACAGAATTTCATTTGTCAAAGGATTTTAAGATTGGGATTCATGAATGTATGAAAGCTTATTTAAAAATATCTTTATGTGCTAATATGTAGATTATAAAAGCAAATATTTAAATATTTCAATTTTATTAGTTAATATAAGCATACAATTTTTAAACCCTAGATGTTGTAATTTCAGTAAATGCTAAATGCTATCTCTTGCTCTTTTTTTTAAGGTACCAGTATTTTTTGCAAATTAAACAAGACATTCTTACTGGAAGGTGGGCTATTTTAAATTTTTAATAATGGGCTTTAAAAATACTTTTAGTTGTGTATTATTTAAGTAACTCATGATCATTGCAAACGAATTATTTATTGAAAAATGGTTACATGCAGCATGAATTTTTTTTCATCAGATAAATTCTTTACTTATAGTGAAAATGTAAGTCATGGAAACTTCATATGTGTATAGTATTACAAAAATTACAGTGCTTTTGAAATTATTGTATTTAACCTTGGGTTATGTATTTTCTGTTTTGTTTTATTAGATTGCCCTGTCCTTATAATACTGCTGCCCTTTTGGCTTCATTTGCTGTTCAGTGTAAGTATCAACCCACTCCTGAGTCACATAGCATGTGATTGCATGGTCTGTGTTGATAGTACAGTGCCTTTAATGCAGGAGTTCTTTAGACATACGTTAATATACAGAAAAAAGTGATTGCAAAGGAAATATAATGTAACGTTCAGTTAGTTAGCAATTACTTAGATTTCTGAAAAAAAGTTTTTCTGAAGTTGTTTGAAACCTAGAAGAATGTTAAGTGTGTTGTAATAGCTTGCTTACATGGTAGCTAGCAGTTAAACAAATATTTTACTTCCAGAAGTAATGAATTCATGACATTGCTGATTTGGCTATCAGAATTACAGAACGTGTTTATTAAATTGTGACTACTTTCCTTCCATGTAATAGCTGAACTTGGAGACTACAATCAGTCAGAAAACTTGCCAGGCTACCTCTCAGATTATTCTTTCATTCCTAATCAACCTCAAGATTTTGAAAAAGAAATTGCAAAATTACATCAGCAACATACGTAAGGATTTATTTACTTTTATGCTTTTTCATTAACTTCTTAAGGTTATCTTTTCTAGAGAAATGTTTTAAATTATTTCTAATGTGATTGTTATATTTACTTAATACAGAACAGTTACTGTTATGTAAAATAGTAGAATTGATGTAAGGAAATGTGGGTTGTCTATACTAAAAAAAATTAATAGCTAATTTCATAGAATATATGAGGCTTTCCTTCATTTCTAGTGAGAACCATAAAGCTATATGTAAACGGAAATTTGCTATTGGGGCGCCTGGGTGACTCGGTTGGTTAAACCTCCAACTCTCCATCTCAGCTCAGGTCTTGATCGCAGGGTTGTGAGTCCAGGCCCCATGTTGGACCCCATGCTGGACATGGAGCGAACTGAAGGAAAGAGAGAGGGCAAGGGGGAGGGAGGAAGGGAAGGAGGGGAGTGGGGGTGGGAGGGAGGGAGGGAGAGAGAGAGAAAGAAAGGAAGGAAAATATTTGCCATTATGTAAAGTTGACAGTTCTTTAAGAAGGAATTTTAGAATATTAATAGTATGTTCACAGATCAGTTGTTACAGATCAATCTACTTAGCAATTCTTTCTTAGTTTTTAGCTATGTGAAATGAATCATTTGGTAATGAGCCAAGAGGAGAAAAGGAACCTTATGTAATATAAATTAATTTTTAAAAGTCCTTTAAAAAGTAGCATTTTTTTCATTCATAACAATATTCAACTTTGATATTTTGTGAGTCTTAATTTTTTGTGACATAATTTGTTTCAAGAAGAGATTTATTGCTTTGAATAGAAAATAATATTATTTATTGGTTTACTTTTTGCTTTAACATGCAGTTCAAAATGCTCAACAGTGGAACTAAGGCAGTATTGTTTATTGGCTAAGAAAAAGTTTGAACTAAAGAACCAGACTGCCTGGTCTGAAATTCTGGTTAAGACAACTTAACACTCTTATAATCTTGGCCAAATTGCTTTCTAACTTTGCTTCTCTGTTTCATTATATGTAAATTGGGGATAATAAAAGTATCTACCTCTGGAGTTAATGTAAGGATTAAGTGAGTTTATATACAAAGTACTCAGAACAGTGCCCAGCACATGGTAAGCACTAAAGAAATATTAGCTCTTAATAGTAAGGAAACTTATTTCATTTGGTAATGACCCATGTATCTAAAACAGGTTGGCAAACTGGCCCACTGCCTATTTTTGTATGGCCCATGGGCTAAGAATGGTCTGTACATTTTAAATGTTTGAGAAAAATACAAAAAGAAGAATAACATTTTGTGGCATGTGAAATTTTGAGAAATTCCAGTTTGGTGTCCATAGATGAACACTTAATGGAGCATAGATTGCCTTTTTGTCCTCATGTCTGTGACTGCTTTCAAATAACAGCAGAGTTGAGTAGTTGTAGCAGAGACCATGTGACCTAAAAGCCTAAAGTATTTACTATCTAGCTCTTTTCAGTTAGCAATAATTGCGCCTCGGATAAACCTCACTGGCTATGATACTGCCACTGCGCAAAGCTGTCTAGCTCTTTTCAGTAAAAGTTTGCTGACCTCTGATATAAAATAAGACTAATAAAATGAGAATTTCAATAGACTGGCCTAATGCCGGTGGGGGGGCTATTTTGGTCCAGCAGTAAAAATGCCATGTGTAATAAAAGTTTTACACATAGCATATCCAAATCAAGCATTTAAAGATAAACCAGATTTTTTTTTAAAAATTGCCAGTAATGGAAAAATCTCCTCTGTAAGGAAAAAGTTTGACAAGGTATTGATTATATGTTTGTATTTGGTTTAAAGAAATGATCCTCACATCTTTAAACAAAGAAAAAATAGAATCATCCAGTTTAACTGAGGAGTAGGGGGTGGGGTGGGGAGGTAGAATATTTATTTAACTTAATTGAATTTTATAGAAAATTGAGGTATATGTACCTTTTTTAGGAATCCCATTTTTATGATCGTGCATTGGCAGGCTCTTGGCTTCCTTTTCTGGTATCATTAGTGAGTGAAAGTTTGATATCTTTGCTTTTGTAACTTGCTGTTTTTGCTCTGCTATCGTCAGATAATATCAGGTAACAAAGGTTTTTAGAAGCACATATAATATAGGAGTAAATCTGTTTTGAAAGCCTTTGCTAGAGTAGTAGTTCTCAAACTTGTGTTCATAAGAATCACATTTCTTAAATATAAACAATTTGGATGTTATCCCTTCTATATCAGATGTATACAGCAGTACTTCTGAAACTATCTGTGATGAAAGACCAGTTATTCCCCAATCTGTCATGGAATGAAACTTCTGAAAGATATAATAAAAGTGAATTACTAGGAAAGTAGAATGGAGAAATAAAGACGTAAAAAATTACAAGTCTTTGTTTCTCTTATTAGATTCAATAGACTTGAAATTACTCTGCCAAAATGCTATGAAATATAAAAGACTTTGACTCTCTCAGTTTCTGTACTTGTTATGAATCAACACCTGACTGTATGTACACCATACTCTAAGAAGCATGCTTTGGAAGTTGTCTCAGAGTTTGCATGTTTCAGAAGCACCTGTGTGATTTAAATGCAGATACAGTATATGGACCAAATTTTGAAAATTTTGAAAAACACTTCTTTTAAAAAGTTGTCAGAGAGTAAATGACTTTGTCAGCCATAAGAACAGCTAGGGACTTTTAAAACCTCATCCATTTTTAAAAATATAGTTGCCACACAGTTACATTAGTTTCAGGTGTATAACGTAGTAATTGGGGAAGTCTGTTCCTTATGCTACACTCACAAATATAGCTGCCATCTGTTACCATACAACGCTATTACAATACCATTGACTATGTACCCTATGCTGTGCCTAATGATTCCTCACTATTAACTCATTCTATAACTGGAAGCCTGTATCTCCTACTCCTTTCACATCATTTTGCCCATCCTCGTTGGCAACCATCAGTTTGTTCTCTGTGTTTATGGATCGTTTTCTGCTTTTTGTTTCTTAATTTTTTTAGATTCCACATATAAGTGAAATCATATGGTGTTTGTCTTTCTTAGTCTTACTGATTTCACTCAGTATAATAACCTCTAGGTCCATCCATTTTGTCACAAATGGCAAGATCTCATTCTTTTTTATGGCTGAAAACCATGTCGTATCCATTCATCTATCAATGGATGCTGACTTGCTTCCTTATCTTGGCTGTTGTAAATAATGCTGCAATAAAGATAGGGGTGCATATATTTTTTTGAAAGAATGTTTTCATTTTCTTTGGGTGAATACCCAGTAGTGGAATTACTAGATCATATGGTATTTTTAATTTTGGGAGGAACCTCCATACTATTTCCCACAGTGGCTACACCAGTTTGCATTCCCACCAGCAGTGCACAAGGGTTCCTTTTTCTCCACATCCCCTGGTGCGTTCTTGTATTTCTAGAAAATAAAATATTCTACAAAATAATGATTTGTGTTCCTGAAAATGTACCCTCCAGGTAAGTTAGATATTACTGTACAGAACTAAGAGGAGTAGTCATGCATGGTGTATTATAAAAGGTTCAACTAGAATGCTGAAATATTTCCAGGTAAATAAGCTTTTTTTCTAATTTGGCCATATTTGTGATTGGTATAATTTTTAACATAATGTCTTTACAGAGGTTTATCTCCTGCAGAAGCAGAATTTAATTACCTGAACACAGCACGTACCTTAGAACTCTATGGAGTTGAATTCCACTATGCAAGGGTAAGTGAAGAGAACTAATTTAATGTTGTTGAGTTAAGCTCCATTTACTCAGTACCAAAGTTTTTATTTAATGCCGTTAGGATTAAGCAACAAATGGAATAACTAGTGAGTGCTGCCAACATAGTTGCACTGAAAATTTCCTATGAATAGAAGTATTTTCACAATCACTTAAGATTTAATACCTGAAGAGAAGAATGGTTGAAGTGGATTTTTTGTGTTATTTTTCCTCAAGCTACTGTTCTATGTTATAAAGATAATTTTTGCAGACCATAAGAGATAATAAAAACTATACAGGAAAAGTAGGGTTTTTGGCATTCCTCATCATTATTATAGAAGATGCTTTCACCTCAGTGACGCTTGTGTTACTTGTTTTCATCATTTAGTGACATCATTATAAATTTTTATTTATAAAGCACAGACTGAAGTATATTATCGTACGTTGATTGTGTTTCTTCTGTGCCACAAATCCCTTTATTGAGATGGAATTTATAGTCATTGGCTTCTTCTACACAACACTCTGTAACAACTTTTTCATTGTGTCAGACGTTGCTGCTTCCAAAAAACCCTTTTCCCCTGCTCTAGGCATATTTGAAGTGGCTATCTTTCATTTGTATGTCTCTACCTGGATTCCTTCTCATGATCTCTTTATCAAAAGGTTATAGTCCTTTAGAATTACCTGGAGTACAGCTTTTCTGCATAACCAGATTTCTACATAACTTCAGCTTTTCTACATAACCAGTGATTATAGGTAACCACTGGTTGAGTTTGTGATAGGTTTTATATTCTCTTGGGACAAATTGCCAAGCCTAATAAGGGTAACAGCCTAAAACGGAGTTAAGTTTTCCTTAGATAGATATTTTGAATTTATTTTAATATACACATTCAAAGTTCTGTTCCATATAGTAGTTTTATTGTTGAGGGCCTCACTTGGCCATGTTCTTCTAGAGAGGAGTGTTAGTTCTTTTATTTCACAAAGCTTATGTCAGTCTCTCCTTTAAAACACCAAATGACTTGCTTTCCTCACATGACTATATCTGGTACTTCTGAGTGCTTGTAACTTGGAAATCTATTTGTCTATTCCATTTAAAATGTGTAGGTAAGGCTCTCTTGAACTTTCTGTTTTCTTTAAAATGTGCCCCATCCCTCTCTATTCCTATTTGGGGGTTGTTATATTTTAACATGATTCTCCAAAATATAACAGAGTGGTCAATATTTGTGCAACTAGATTTTGTTTTTTATCATAATAAAGTTTAAAAAATGGAACTTTACATATGTGAAGTAAACTATGGTTAACAATAAAAAGGCCCCTAAATTCAGTCATTTTAGTCATTAGCAGTTTTGTAGTGTACATTGGTATCTGATCTCAGTGACTGCTATCAATGAAATACAGAGTGTTAAGACTTTCCTTTTTTAATTTAAGTGACATGCTGGGTCTCAGACATAATTAACCATATTGTTATTTATTGATTTGATTAAGGTAGGATTTTTTTTATTGTTTAAATTATTAGATTATAAACTCCTTTCTAAAAAAGCCATAAATGTAGAGTAACACATTAAATTAATTTAAATTTTAAGTGGTCAAAGTTATTTAGAAATGTATTTGTACTGATAAAAAGTGCCAGGGAAGGATGTTTCTGTTGAGTGATACAGAGAACTCAAGAAGAAAACATGCAGGTGTTCAGTGAATGTGAAGGGGAATTTTACAACATGCTGAACAAAAAGGAAAAAAAAAGTGGAGGGGAGAAGATACATAAAGGAGAATACTTAAGTTTTAACTCACTGTCACAAGCAAAAGTGTGTTTGAAATAATATTTTATTTGGAAAAACGAGGTAAGATGTTTTCTCTCTGCCTTCAAAATGTAGATTGAAAAAGAGAGTAGAACAAGTTATTTATAGCAATCTGCAAAATACAAATAGGTTTTAGAGCATTCATTGAGGTGGGTCTGATAGGTCCCTTGCATAGTGTTGGTGCTAAGGATTACTTAGTTGAGCAAAACATCAATTATCTTTGCCCTCATGGAGCTTGCAGGATGGTGGGGGAGAAAGAAATGGAGCATGTCTTGACAATTAAATATGTGAAGTCCTGAAGGGAAAGTGCAGAATGCTATGGGATTATATGACAGAATATCTAATACAGCCTGGGAAAAAAGGGTAGGGAAGGCTTCTGAGAAGAAGTAATTTACTGAAGCCAGAAGAATGAATAAGAATTAGCCAAGAGAGTGGTTTTCACCGTGGACCATCAGCATGAATAAAGACCTGAAATCAAGAGAAAACATGGCATACTTGAGAAAATACGAACATTTTGTATGCCTAGGAGATTATATGAATAAGGGAAAAGGGAAATGTAAGAAAAAAAGAATGAAAACTTCAGAATAAAAAGGAGAGAAAGATTTGGAGTGAGAGAGCAGGGGGATATTTTGTTTTTTAAAATAACATAGTGGGGGCGCCTGGGTGGCTCAGTAGGTTTAGCGACCACCTTCTGCTCAGGTCATGATCCTGAAGTGTCAGGATCTAGTCCTGCATCGGGCTCCCTGCTCAGCAGGGATTCTGCTTCTCTGTCTGAACCTCCCCCCTCTTATGTGCTCGTTCTCTCTCTCATTCTCTCTCTCTCAAATAAATAAAATCTTTTAAAAAAATAACATAGTTTTTTTTTTTGGTGTGTGTGTGTGTTCAGTTGTGTAATTTTTAGCACATGTATAGATTCATGTAACCACCACCACAGTCAGAATAAGGACAGTTCATTACCCCATAAAATCTTGCGTGCTACTCCTTTGTAATCTAACCTTCTGCTTCCCCCCGCCCACCACCACCAATCCCTGGCAATCACTGGTCTGTTCTTTGACTCTATAGTTTTGTCCTTTCCAAAATGTCTCATAAATGGAATCCTATGTTATGTAACCTTCTGAGACTGGCTTTTTACAATAATACATTTGAAATTTATCCAAGTTATTGTGTGCTTCAATAGTTCATTCCTTTTTTTGTTTATTCATTCACCCATTGAAGAACATCTGGATTGTTTCTGGTCATTTTGTTTTGACTACGGCAAAAAATTCACTTACACGTTTTTGTGTGGATTTAAGTTCTCATATCTGTAGGGTAAAACCCCAGAGTGGGATTGCTGGGTCACATGGTAAGTGTATATTTAGCTTTATATGAAACTGCCAAATTGTTTTCCAGAGTGTCTGAACCACTTTGTATCCCTACTGGCAATATTTGCAAGTTCCAGTCATTCACATCCTTTTTGGCATGTGGTGCTGTCCATTTTGTTTTGTTTCTTTTTAAGCTTTTCTAATAGGTGTGTTTTATCTCATCACGGATTTACATTTACTTTGCATTTCTCTAATGACTAATGATGTTGAGCATCGTATTTTCTCTGATGACTGTCTATTCAAATGTTTTGCGCATTATAATTGCATTCTTTTTTTGCTCTTTTTTTTTAAGAACTCTTTATATATTCTAGATACACTTTTTTTTTTTTAAGATTTTATTATTTATTTGAGAGAGAGAGAGCAGAAGCAGGGAGGAGAAGGAGAAGCAGGCTCACACAGGGCTCGATCCCAGGACCCTGGGATCATGACTTGAGCTGAAGGCAGACGACTTAACCAACTGAGCCACCCAGGTGCCCCTAGATACACTTTTTTGATAGATATGTGATTTGCAAATATTTTTTTCCCACTCTTTGGTTTGCCCTTTTATTCTCTTAACACTGTCTTTCACAGAGCAAAAGAGAAAGTGATAGATTCCAATATTCCTTATTCAATCACTGATAGAACGGACAGTCTACCCAAGTTTTAGGCTTCATTGTGAATATCTTTTTTCCATAGGTATTTGTAATAATGATGAAGATAATTCTACTGAAAAATAGAATAGCCCGTCAAAGTTTCAAGAAGAGGAAAGCCTCTTCTAATGATGCTATTTTGATTATTCATTCAGTGAATATTTATTGAGCACCTTCTATGTTGCAAGTCCTGTTTATAGACACCATGGATACAGCAGTGAATGAGGCAGATAAAACCAAACTCTCATGAAGCTTGCATTCTGTTGGGCAAGACAGGTTATAAACAAATAATTGAGTACATCAGAATACATAGCAGGCATTCCATGGAAGTAAAGTTCAGTAACAGGCAAAATACCAATCTCTACTGATAGAAGTGAGAATAGCAGTTACCCCTGGAAGGGTTTTATTAGCTGGGAGGCTCATGAAGCACCTCTCTTGGATTTTGAAAATATGTATATTGGTTTGTAGTGGTTACAAAGATGTGTATATACGTATGTATATTATACATGTAAAATTTTGGGTTGCACATTTAAGATTTGTACATTTTACTATATATACATTATACTCAATTTTCTTTAGTTAACTGAGTAAGTAATAGATAGTAATAGATGCTATGTAGAAAAATTACCTGAGAAAGGGGATTGAGGCAACCAGAAGTAGGGTATCAGGGAAGCCCTCACTGAGAAGATAAACAGAAGGCATTCTGCATATACCTACTTTCAACATCAATGAAAGGCCATGAAATAAGTTGCTTAAGGAATAGCAGAGATCAGTATGGCTGTGCAGTGTAAGCTAGAATAGGAGAGTATTGGGCGCCTGGGTGGCTCAGTTGGTTGAGCGACTGCCTTCGGCTCAGGTCATGATCCTGGAGTCCCGGGATCGAGTCCCGCATCGGGCTCCCTGCTCGGCGGGGAGTCTGCTTCTCCCTCTGACCCTCCCCCCTCTCATGTGCTGTCTCTCATTCTCTCTGTCTCAAATAAATAAATAAAATCTTTAAAAAAAAAAAAAAAAAAAAAAAAAAAAAAGAATAGGAGAGTATTGATGAGGTTAAGGTGGAGTAGGATTTTATAAGACATTTAAAGACTTTGGCTTTTAATTCTAAGCAAGGCCATTAGACAGTTTGAACAGGTAAAAGACATGGTGGGATTTTGAAAAGATAACAGTGGCAGCTCTTTTGAGAGAAGAGCCCAGCTAGCACACTGTTACCGTGATCAATGTGAGA